ACACATACATATAATTGCAAAATTCAGAACAATTAACAACTATTCTGTTATATCATGAAAATGTCTCTGATAAAGCTCGCTGTATCAATCTCTTAAATTTAAATTGCCTAAATTATAAAACAACTTTGATAAGACAAAAATGTATTAAGTTCTTAAAATAGAAAACGGAGGTGGCCCAGTTTGTCTCATCATCATTGCAAAACTACTTAATCCTTCATCGCCATTATTATGACTATTTTGATTATTTTGTGAACTATTTAGATTTTTATTTCTACTACTATTATGACTTTGCAAGTGTTCTTTAAATGATCTTTTCTATAAAAAGCTTTGCCACATTCTGTACAAACTTGATTTTTGCTACCAGAGTGAATAATCATATGACGTGCAAGATGTTCATTGCGTTTAAATGCTTTGCAGCACATATTACACTGATAAGGCCTATCTTTATTATGTCCTTGTTTATGACGATCTAGATGTTCTTTGCGTTTTAAACTTGCACCACAAATATCACAGATGTGGGGTCGTTGTCTATGATCCTCTAAATGTTCATGTAATGCTTCTCTATCTTCAAATCTATATGCACACTCTGGACAATGATAAATTAACATACCTGAAATTATTAAATATTTATATCAAAATTTATAATACATACTTTTAGATACAAAAAATAAAATACATATAATTTATATTAGATCTTTTTAAATTTTTTATTTACCATTGATATGTTGTGGTTCAACTTCAAATTCAATTTTCGGTCGAATTTCTTGACAATTATGAGTTGAATTATTGCTATTTTCTTCATATTTAGTTACATATGGTAAACCTAATGTACTAGAACATCGTGCTAAATACTCAGAAGTAAGTCTAAAATCTATTTGTAATGGATCAGTCATGGTTGCTGCATCTACTTTTTGAATAGTCTGTGTACCCGAAGATTGATGAGATATTTGAGAACATGTTTCCTTATTTCCACAATTATTTTCATTTCTATTTTCATCTGTATGTTGAGCATGTGACACTGGATGTCCAGAATATGTGTATCCAGTCATATTAGATTGATTATGTTGATGGTTGTGCATTTCAGATGAATATTTTATATTACGTGTATCATAAGCCATTTTTTAATGTATAACAAAATAAATTTGTTTATCATTTGCCTATAAATATAAAAATAATGTAATAAAAAATCAACAAATAACGATAAAAATGTATTAATTAAAAAAATAACAACTAATAATCTAATAATAATCTTATTAAAAAAAATTGCATTTATAATTTAAAAGATTGAGTTTCATTTTTCCATTTTAAAAACTGAATAAAAATATTTTATTTTTATAATTTATTAAAAATTCTTTAATAAAATTGTGAACAACATATTAGTTTGAATATGAAAAACAATTTGAAAAAATTTACATATGAAGACAATTCTATCGTAAATTCAACGTAAATGAGATCGTAATGAGAAATTTTATTGAGCAGGTCAGGACAAGTGTCACTTAGCGTTAAATATTTTCGAAAATTTTAAATATTCTTAAAAGATATTAAAATAACTGAAAAACAAAACTATTTATTAATATTATGTACATGAATTAAATTTACTCACCCCCTGGGTACAGAGTCAGTCGTAAAATGAGCACGTCACTGATCACTATTTGTTTGTATTGAGCTTGGCCATCTTTACACATCAGCTGCTATACAAATTCCGAGTCCTTCTTCTAACTGGTTATTTATTTTACAAAAATATGTGTGATTCATAAAAATATTTAGATACTGCCATAATTTTGATTTTTATGCACTATATTTGGAATAAACATACATAAAACAACAAAAAAAATTGCAATATATTAAAATATATATTAAAATATAATAAATAAATATTTAAATGTCAAAAAATAAAATTTTCTTCGATAAACTTTAAAAATTTTTTAATTTACATATCAGCTGTTATAAATTACTATAAATGTTAAAAAAATATCGAAAAAAAAGTCGAAAAATTTTTACATTACAAATAAATTTGAACAATTTACAAATTTAGTCAAAA